AGACAGAGCGGGGAGCAGAACAGGTAGATCAACGAAGTACACTGCTGAGGGGAGCAGCGGGCGGGTCAGGAGAGGTCTGCCGCCATGTGGGTCAGCTCCCTGGTGGGGGCTCAAACTCCTGCTGCTGTGGTTTCCTGGAGGTTCATAATGTGTTGCTTGAACCCACCAGGGAGAGCCCCAAAAGGTATGCTTTTAAACTTGGACATTTAATCCGAATGGGCCTCCGAGAGCTGATACCTATTTATGTACCTGTCTCCTAACACCCCCCCCACCCCGACATACACATACACACCTGCCAGCACTTCACAGGGATGTGTGAAAGCAAAGATGTTCTAGCAAGTGGGAAGATGCTTGGTGATGGATTGGCTCAATCCTTCGTCTAGCAGACAGGGAAACTGAGGCTGGGGGTGGGGGAGGCGGTAAGGTGTGCCCAGGTCACTTGGAGAAGTGGCACAGTTCTGTTCCACTTCCAACTGGCCTCTCTGTCCTCTTCTAGGGACTGGGAGGTGCGCTGGGGAGTGCTTGAGCTCCAGGCAGGTTCAGGAGGCCAGAGTGGACTTGAAAGGGGAGAGCTGAGCTCCACACTTCTACCCTGGGGAATGCAACCGGTTTTCTTTCACGAAGAAACTTCTGACTCTTTTCCACTACTTCTCCGTGACTCCCCCACCCCTAACATCTTTTTCCCTTGGAAACAGCCTCAGAGACTCGGAAAGGTGCTTTCCTTACTTCTGAGCCCGCCTGTGTGGGAGGAAGCTGAGGACGTGAGGGTACTGATTGAGAGAGCAGGTTGAGACCCAGGAGCTGTTGTGCAAAAAGAATGGCAAATTATATAAGGAGGGAAAAGGAAGGGGTGGTGGAGGCAGCTCGCTCAGCAGAGCTTTTTAACCCTTTCCTGCGGAGGCAGGCAGCCCGATGCTGGGTGAAGGGCCGCAAGCCCAGAGGCATTTTCACAAATGGTTTGTGCCCAAGGCTTTGAAGGGAGGACAGCAGACAGGCTTTGTGCTCTGGGTAAAACTGTCGGAAAAGGTAGAACAGCGCCTAATCTAGGAGATGATTCCTGTGGGAAATCAGGCTGCTTTTCAAGCATAATTTGAAAAGCCGCTGCCTCCAAACTTCAGTGGTGGCAGGGGGAGGGGGCGCCGGGAGAAGAATGCCATTTATAAAGCAATCAACGCTTCGGCAGAGTCAGCCATCACTCAGAATTATTTTCCGAAATTTGGCCTCTATTCCTTACTCTGGAGGAAACGCAATATGGGCACTTTGCTTCCAATCAAGCCCGACGCAGAAGCAGGGCTAAGTCACACAAAGGGAGAGGGACCCCGCATTGCTCATCGCAGCTGGAGCTGCGGAAAAATCATTTCTAGGGCTCCTCCACTCTTCCGAACACGCCAGAGGAACCTCATCAGAGGTTCCATTCATCTCACTCCTTACTTTTAAACTTTAAAGCACATATTTATGTGCCTCAAGTTGCCCATGAACCACGGCACGTCGAACACTTTGGGGTTGATGGAGGATGTACATTTCCTCGTCCTGGGACTTTGGGAAACACAATTTCATCGCTAGTCTCTCTTCCCAGTTTTCTCCTGTATGCGGCCACGAAATGAATATTCCTGAAAGGTGCTTTCAATACATTATTCATCCGTTTCAAGAAGCCAAGGCCACCTCTTGGTCTCTTAAGTTCGGGATCCCCCAGATTGACATTCCAGATCTTCCATAAGTGTGGCCTCTTCAACTAGGCCTCCTAGCGCCCCCCAAACACCCCCAGGCCACCCACCGGCCAGCCACACTGTCAGTTACTGGGGTGGTGAATTTTTTTGTTCTTCTGCCCCTCTCCATGTTACATGCTCCTGATTACAAATGCAGCCTTCCTTGGAGAGGGAGGCTTCTACCTGGCTCTCCCTCCTATGGGGAGGGTGAGCTGACCTCACTGCTGCCTCCAAGCCTGCTCACCACAACGCTACAGGTTAAGGGGTCCGCAAACTAGGATCCAAGACCCCTAGGCTATTTTGTAAGCTCTTGAGCCAAGAATGACTTTTGCAGATTTAGAGAATTGAAAAAAATAATCAAAGAAGATTCCAGACAGACCTTGTGGCCTGCAAGCCTAGACTATTCTCCATCTGGTCTTCCACAGAATTTGCTGACACTTGCTGGGATGTACCATGTCTGGTTTGGCCGAGCTGAGGAGTAAACCCTGGGACCAGAGCTGGAGCTGTCAGGGAGGGTTGTTACTTTCTCCAAGGTTTGTTAAACTGAGAGAACGGTAGCCTGGAATGAGGGGGGCCATCTTTCTAGAGGCTGCTAGAGAAGGAAGCCAGCCCTGGGGAAAGCAGAATCAAAAGACGGAGATGAGCTGTGGGATGTAGAACCAGCTGGGCCTTTGGTTATGTAGCCAAAACAGTTCTCTTTGCTCAAGCCAGTTTGAGTTGGGACTCCTGTCGCTGTCAACTGAAGGAGTTGTGGTGAGTACAGATTTTGGCAGGTATGCCAGATGCCTTTGGCAAGTTATTGTCCCTGTCTGGAATGCCCTTTATCCTTTCGGCCTGCCAATGTCTACTTGTCCTGCCAGGATCTTACTGTGGTCCCTCTAGTTCCTGGGTGGTTCATTCTGAGACTTAACCAAACACTTCCCGCCGGAGGACTAGATGCTTTATGCCTAACAAAGCCACAAACAGTGAGGTCAGGAGCCTGGAGAGGAATGCACACTGGGAGAACCCAGGACTGTGCAAAACACCACAAGCACTATGGTATAGATTCCTCCGGAGGCAGCAACCCAAAGAGGCAGAGCAGGAACTGCACTGTAGAGACGGGAAAACAAAGCAAAGTGACTCATCCAAGGTCACACAATTACGAAGAGGCAGAATCAGAAATCTACCCCAGGCTCCGAAGAGCCATATTCTTCCTGCAACATGATGGCTCTTGAGGACCGCAGCCAACCACCTTCATAGGATTCCCCAGATCTAGTTCTACACTTTCCTGGAAACTTCTGGAAGCCTTCCCTTGCCTGCAGATCAGAGTTCAAACATCTCAACTTGAAATCCAAGGCTTTTCAATCTCTGCCCATTTGTTCCTCAATTCAATACTGGCGCTGTGGGTGCACCCTCCATGAAGAGAACTCCTCACAGCACCAAGTTTTACCTGGGGACATGATCACTTTGTGCAGTCTTTCCTAACAAGGACTAGACTGAGTCAGCTGGACAGGTTCAAAATTAAAATTGCCTGAATATAATAATAACTGGAGAGGCACTCTAATTAGTTTTTTTTTTTAATCAAGTGCAACAATCTGAACGCAACTCAACTCAAGATGTCTTAACTCTTTAAGGAGCATGTCTTTTGGAACCATGGCAAGTTCTCCCACGCAGATGATCTTCTGGGGAGCTTCCCTAGAGCCCAGGATTTATAACATCACAGGACATGAGTGCTCGTTGCCCTGCCTCTTGGTGCTCCTCACAGCCTGCCTTGCCCTGCCACCTTGGGAAGGCCGCCTACTTAACTCTCACCTGGAGCAGCTGGGCGATGCTCCATAATCACGCCACCGCTCGACCTGTTTTCTCATTGGTCAGGGCCTATAGTTGAATTAGTCCATCATTTCATGTTCCCGGTGGAATCAGGAACAATGCTGTGAATCCTTTTATAATCCCCTCAATTAGAGGGCATTTTCTCACATTCCCAAAGGAAATCATCCCAGCATTTTAAAACTGCCGAAGGGCCCCCATGACTCACTGGCAGAGCCCAAGCAGGAGCCAGGTTGCTGTCTCCGAGCCTGGACTGGACACTGCACAGCCCTGGCAGGGCGGGCCCTAAAAAGAAATGACTGGCCTTTCCAGAACCGTCTGGGGACCCTTGCTCCACTACGTCCCCATGCCAACCACCTTCTGGGTTTGTAGAACTTGATTATCTATGGCCTGGAGGAGCCATCTAGACGTGTCTCGCCACCATCTGTGGAGGAAGCAGTCATACTCCCTGGCGCCTGTCAGCACCTCTGTGCGAACAGAAATTTACACCATGTGTCTTAAATCCCATCGCTCGAGAAATCAAGTATTTATCCTGCCTTTTCTATACAAACTCCCTCAAGCTTCCCACGATTGAAGGAAAGGTTCCCTCACGCAGGTATTCTGGATAACAGCAAACTGGCCTGGTGGCCAGATGGCCCTGCTTTGCAATCCCTAAGGAGTGAGTGGATGCAGACGAGGGTCACTGATGGCTGAGACCATCGCGAGAAGGGTGGACGCGATGCGCTTCCAGACAAAGTAAATCATGCCACCTAGGAAGGAAAGCCGCCAGGAGACAAAAACAAAAAGCAAACCTGATCAAACCTCGTTCTGCCTCCCGATTTAGAAGAAATACTCGTGGCAGGGGAGCCTGTGAAATGACCCATATGGGGACGGAATCGGTGCGTCCAGATTGTGGGACGTAATGGGATAAATGACCTTGTTTCCTCAACAGGAAAAAGAAGAATGGTGGTGGGAAAATCTATAAATTAAGAGATTTATTGAGGGACACATCCCTAACAGCCAGGCACCCATGTGATTTGGATCCTGATTCAAACACATTGGGGATATTCTAGCATGACTGAAGAAATTTAAGGATCTTTTTTTTTAAGGTGTGATGATGCTGTTATGGTTCTAAGCTCAATCAAAAGGTGTGGCACGTGGGGGGTTGTGTCAAACGCAGGGGTTGGGTGGAGGGGCGAGGGCAGACGGCAGGGGCAGTGGTGAATCAGCTGGCCATGTGCTGGTAACTGGCCCAGTTGGGTTATGGGGATGAGGGCTGTACTGTCCATGACAAAAAGTTAAAAAAAAATTCCTCTTGAAAGTGCATCCAAAAATTGTCACAGGTCTTTACTTTGCAGGATAGGGACTAGATATCTGGGGAAGAGGAAGAGGGACTGCTTGATCTTACACTCTGTCTCTGCATTAGCCATTCAAGAACACACGCTCACTTAAAAAAATCACCTGATGTAAATAACAAACTTCAAAGTAAGCTCTTGATCATATATTTCATCCAAGAAGTGGCTTTATTTCATTTTCTTCCACAGAACAGGTTAGGTGCAAATAGTTCCATCTCATTATCTGAGGAGAGGTGAGTCCACGATGCAGGGCTGTGTTCTGGAGAGGCCAGACACGCCGTCCCCAGACCGCATGCGCCGAGGGTAGCACTGGCCCGGCCCCACGTCTCTGAACTGCTGGTGTGGGTGTGGGGGGCCTGGGAGGCAGCCAGGGCTGGGTGATGGTGAGCTAAGGAGTTAAGTCCCTAGAGCTGCCAGACAGTGTCATCTGAAAACGCCAGGTATGAAATATAAATAATAGTCAGATGCTTTCCTTCAATCCAATTTCTAAGCAGTTGTGTGATCGATCTATTTATGAATCGATAGCTGTCTACTGCCCCTTCGCAGTCTTCTCTCTGCGCCGCCAGCGCCTCTGGCTGGGTGGGGCAGGCCCCGCACTCCTGGCAGGCACCCAGCTAAAGGCGCTGTCCACCCAGTGGGGGAGACGGACTCAGGGCAGCTCCTGGAGCAGGCGGAGCACGTTGGCCTTGTAGGGGTTTTGCTGCCCAGAGGCCCCCCGCAGCTGCACAGGGTGGAGGCTGGGGTGGGGCGGGATGGGCTGTTCTGGGCAGTATAGCTCGTTCAGGAGGAACCAGGTGGAGTCCGGGTCTACTTTCATCAAGTGCAGGAAAACGCTGTGGAGAGAGACAGGGAGTGAAGGTGGGGTCTGAGGGAGGGCAGAAGAGGGCTACGGTGCCGTTTAGACTGCTTGAGAAGAAACTAACACCAACTCACTGTGGAGAGCAGAACAAGCTACACTTTAGTTCCTAAGACAGGGCCATTAGGGTGGGCCAAAGCCAAGCAGAAATAGAGGCAATCAGTTTCATTCCAGTGACAAAAGGGAAAAAAGTAATTAGAACAGAACAATATTGACATCAAACAAACACTTGGCAAAGAAACCAGTTAAGTTCTGGGGCGTAAGGCAGAGTTTTCAGAAGGAAGAAGACTGAAAACCCCTTCACCCCCCTTCACTACAGAGTCGGGCTGGCTCACTGGGCCAAGCCCTGGCCAGGCAGCCCCATCTGCTGGGGGGCCTGGGCAGGCCTCTCCTTCCGGGTCTCCAGCTCTCTGCTGAGGCTGCAGTTGGGGCCCTTCTGGCCAAGAGTTGTGGATTTTTGTGGTGTGGACGCAGGCAGGGATCAGACCCGGTCAGCTCCTAGGGCGGAGCTGCAGGCCCCGCGTGGCGTCCTGCCGGGGTGCAGGCAGGCTGGGCCCCAGCCACCCCTCGGCTGATGGTCTTCATCTTTAGCTTAGGGGTCACAGCCTCTGCCTCTTGTTTGCTCACATTCCATTTCTGAACCTTCGAGCTGAAGCCCATGGTACTGGGCAGCCAGGCAAAAGCTTCAGCACGCAGCCAAGGGGCGCCAGTCAGCGTGGTGACGGAGGAGACTGATGCCCCTCGTCAGGCAGCGCCCTCCCGGCCACTGCCCTTCCCGGCTCCTGCACCCCCACTCAGAGAGGTGGCCTTCCCCGGACATTTTACACAAGTGGTTTCCCTTATTAAAAAAGGTTATTACTCTCATTTTTCTCTTTCGGCCACCCCTGCCAGCACGTACACTGCTCAGCCACTGACCGCTCCCTGCCTCACTGCTGCATCTTGGGCACCTAGTCTGGCACAACAAGTATTTGCCGGAACAGATTTTCATATTGAACAAATGTCTTATGTTGTACAAGTGAATTAAGATGACATCTGTCTCTGGAATATTTACTTTCTATGAAAGGATCTAAGGCAGGGGTCTGCTGCTCACCATCGGGGAAGGACGGAGGATTCACGTTCTCATGCGTCACTGGAGATGGCTGTGGGAGGCTCAACTTGGCTTAGTGCCAGTTTCTTCTTTTTCAAAAATGGGGGAGGGATATACCTTCCCTCAGGGCTCTGCTAGGATTTCAGTGAGAAAATACAGATGTCTCACGTGCGACCCCCCCAGTTGCCAACTACTACTCCGTGTGACGGATCGTGTCTTCTTATAATTAAAGATTTTACTTATTTATGCATACAAGATCTGGGGTGTAGGTCAGAGGTGCAGGGGGTGAGAGGACTTATCAGAGACAGAGTTGGGGGCGGAACAGGCAGATGGATTGAAATACAGTGCTGAGGGGAGCAGCGGGCCAGACAGGAGAGGTCTGCTGCACCTGTGGGGCAGCTCCCTGGCTGGGGATCGAACTTGTGTTGCGTTGGCTGCCTGGCTGCCTGATGGTGCTGAGAACTTAACCCCTTGAGCCACGAGGGAGGCCCTCATGTCTTATTCTTGACAACTATTCCTGGGAGCCCTTTGCATGCTCTGGGATGTCAAACTGGAAGTTAAATGCTAAAGGAAGTTAAAATCTCATTTTTAATCACATTAATCTGTAGAGCCTGTGTCCTCAGGGACTTGGCTTTACTGGGACCCCACAGGGGCTGGGTGAAGCCAGTTTTGCTTCCTTCCTTGGATTTAGTAGATCTATACCAAGGAGGCGGGGGCAGGCGGGCACTTCAGAAATTTCTCTGGTCTCTTTTATGCCTAAACAATTCAAGTTTTCTTTACTTAGTATAATCTTATGTTTATAACCTCAGCAGCGGTTGCTGGAGAAGTGATTAGAATATTCTAATTCATTGTTTCCACTTCACCGCAGTAAGGAGATGGGGCCTGCGTGGGAGACAATTTTTGTTTAAAAACAAAAATATCTTTGATAATTAGAGTGGCAAGGGAAATTATGAAAAAACTCACCAAAATTGGGAAGCGGATTTCTATTTACACGTGACACAGTTGACAGCTTTCCCTGGTGCCAAAGACTGTTAGAATGCAAATGGTTTCATTTGATTTTTTTTTCCTCCCCCTTCGAGAACTGGAACAACTTCTCCAGCTCCAGCAAAGCATACTCTTGGCTTCAAGGCGTATTCTGATCTGGGCGACACCTCGCAAAGTGGTGCCGCGGCCTCGTTCAGTCACAGCGCCGCTCTGACTTACACAGCACGAGGATGTTGCAATGCTCATTTTCCGAGTCCTTTTAACATGCGAAAATGTGGATGTTGTATTCACTGACAGGAAGGAAAAGGAAGCCAGCTACTTTCTCTGCCCTGGGAGGTCTCTAAATAAAATGTTAGCAGGGAAGCAAAGGGAAAAACCTGTGCAAAGTTCATCTTTTAAAATTAAACAAGTGCTGAACTCTTGGAAGAATTATTTTGGGTCTCAAGTAGTAGCCATTAAAGGGGTGGACCCCCCCAGAAGAGTGAGCACCAAGGCCAGTTCCTTCCGCTGGTGGCCAGGGGAGTTCCTGGGCCTCTGTGCCTCTCTTCCCTTTCCTGGAGAGAGGCTGGCCCCTGCCCCACCCACTCACAGGTCTGTGGGAGGTGAGAGGAGTTGAGATGCAGGAAAGAGCTCTGAAGTGTATAATGAAAACATTGCTCCTTCCTGAGGGAGGGCAGTATGTGTCTAAAGCTTAATCATCACTACCAGTTCAAGCAGCACTGCTGCCCCATGGAAAATGCTCAGACGCCCCGAAAAGGGCAAGACCTTTGCCACCAATTTTACTCATGATTTCCTTGATACCGACGTGGTGGCAGTTTCCAATTCTTTTTTTTTTTTTTTTAAAGATTTATTTATTTGTTCATACAGAACTGGGGTAACGGGCCAGAGGTGCAGGGCCTGTGAGAGGCTTCACCAGAGACAGAGTGGGGAGCAGAACAGGCCGACTGACAAAATACACTGCTGAGGGGAGCAGCGGGCTGGTCGGGAGAGGTCTGCCGTGCCATGCGGGTCACCTCTGGGGTAGGGATCGAACTCATGCTTTAGTGGCTTTAGCTTCTTAGCGCTGTGCTTTAAATTGCTGTGCCACCCGGGAGGGCCCAAATTTTGCCCATTTTTTAAGGAAAAAACGAATGCAATATCTTTACCCACTGCATGCCTGAAGCCGGGAGCAAGGCCTTGCCATGCAACTGCAGGGCTGTATTCCCACTTGGCCAAAGGCATGTGACCTGCTGAACCAGAAAAATGGACAAATCTTGAACTTCAACCTGCTTGCTTTAAGCCCCCGGGAGCCGCGCCTGAGGACCAGCAGCCCCTGCGCGAGGGCTCAGGCAAACTCTGGGCCGCTTCGTCCCGGTGCCAGTGCCCGGCCATGCAGAGCTGGGCAGCGGGCTCCAGAAAGCCAAGGACCTGGAAAGCCCTTTCTGCATAATGGAAAAACCAGAAGACAAAGACAGGACTGCTGCTTTGAAGTGACTGGGGCAACTGCCTGGAAAATGTCCCTCATATATCTTGAGACATGGCAGAGATGGCTGTTGAACATGCCAAATGGCCAGCTCCATCTTTACAAACCCAAAGAGAAACACTTAAAAAAATATATGTGTACACCATTTAACTCCTGAACAAAATTTGCTTTCTCCTTCCCCCAGGCCCAAGTCAGTGGCTCCAGGGAGCACAGTTATCAAGAGATTATCTGGTCCCCAGAGTTTCGGGAGGCACTCAGCTGTGCCTCGTGCCTCCCAGTGTCCTGAGGCGAGTGATTATCGCTCAATAACCTGTAGGGCCGTGTAGCTTAAATGATAACTTGACTTTAAAAAATTTAGAACTCGCCGTCAGGCAGTTTCTAAGCAACCTCTGTTTCCATGGCAAAGAAGCCTGGTGTTTATACTGATTTTTCACTTAAAATGCGGTTTTATTGAATTTCACTTCATGCAGGCAGCCATTTCCCTTGCACTTCAGCCCTATCTACAATTGACGGGTATCAGCAAGTACCTAATAAACTCCAGACACCGAGCCAGCAGAAGCAGCTCATTCCTTCACGATCAATACTGGGGTGCTCTGAGTGACAGAGTTGGGGGAGAGGTGCCTGGGAAGGTAGGACATGCGCCCCCAGAACCCGGTGAGCGGGGTTCGGGTCCTGTCTCTCCTAATTCATCAAAAGTTTACTGGTACCTGGTCTGGCCGAGCGCTGCGCCCACTGCACGGGCTACCAAGATGATGGACAGAGGCCTCCCTGCAGACAGGGAGGTCAGGCTGGTCAGGGAGGCCCACGACACAGCGTGCAGGGGAACATGCTAGAGGCCCCGCGTGGGGGGCTGGGGAAAGGTCCCTGGCCAGTCGCCGCTCAGTAAAGAGGGGTCCACCCTGGGTCGGCCCAGGGCCCTTGCAGCTCACAGTTCACAGCGGTGCTCCAGCTTGGGTGCCGCACAAGGACCGGCTCTCACCACATCACCCGACACCAAAACCCCCCTGCAGCAGACACTAATGCTGCAGAATGTTACTTGCATTTCCCCCTCGACAGCATCTGCAAACAGGGAACTCTAGAAAATCACCAGCCAATCAAGGCCCAGTAAAGCTAAGTAAACTGTAACTGAAATTCAGAGCTCCCAGCTCTCCTGGGTGACAGGCTATTCTTTCTCTGTCAATTACTTGCTTGAGGGATCTGCTGCTCCTTGTTTCTTTCTGGATTTATAAAATGCTCTCATGAGCTGTCTGAGTAAATGCCAGTGGTAAAGAACTTGTGGCTTTGTGATGTTTGTTTGTTTGTTTGTTTGTTTAGGGCTTCTGGAGAAGTCATTCAGGGATGTCTCTTTAGGAACGCATGCCTGTGTCTACAGAGCCATGACTAAATGCAGTCAGAAAAGAAATTCACTTGTTGGAAAGCAGGCACCTCCACAGAGTTATTTTAG